AGCTGGATGGAAGTGAGGTGGGCCTGGCCTCTCTGGCTTAACAGTTCTTGGAGGATCCAGGTCTTCTGTAGAGGTCCCAGGATTCTGCACCTCCTCCCTGATCTCCTGTTATTAAGCTTCAAATCTCTGCCTTCTCTTGTCTGAAGGGAAATCTTTGATCCAAGGGAGAGGATGAGAGGAGCAGCGAGGGGAAGGATTTGTTTTAAAAAATGTAGCAATGAATAATTGAACCAACTCATTAATAGTCAAGTAATCACGGTGGCCACATCGTCGCTACAAACACCAGGAATTGGGAACTGAGAGACTGTTAGCTACAAGTTTCTCCCCCCAAAAGCCAGAGGTTTGAGAGCAAGTTGAGTCCTCACCTCCAAAAGCTGTGTGTGTGTCTGGGAAGACATCCCAGTGCCTGCCCCTCACCCTGTGCCCCACTCTGTCTCCTAGTCCCCTTATACTGGTCCCAGATGGAGGCTGGGAGGACCAGAGTCTATGGCAAGGGCTGTGGGGCCTCATTGCATCCCCTGATGTCTCCGCCTGGTGGTCCCCAAGCTGTTTATCCCAGGGTTCCCTTATGGTCTCCTCCCACAGACCCCACAGTTTGGAAAACTGTCTGAAGTGGGGGCGTGTAGATAAGGCTGGCTTTGTTCCACTATTTTTACTAATCAAAGGCACATTTAATTGCTGATCAGAGCTTCTGAGCCGCAGAAGGTCACACACTAAATGATGGTGAAGAGAACTGTTTTGCCATTAAATTAGTCTATGGGGTCTTCACATGAGCAAATGTATGATTTCTTCTAAAGCCTTGAGAAATTTTACTGAGAAAGAAAGGCCCCCACATGGCTGCTTTCTCTGTTGCTGAGGGCTTGGGTTTTCAGCCCGGGAACCACCGATTGTATCATTCCTCACTGCCCAACTCAGGCAGGCACCGTCCTGGGGGAATGGGCTGTGGGGTCTGTGAGGGCTCGGAGACCTACTCAAGGGGCATTCTGAGCCTTGGCAGATCGTCATCTCCTGTTGCCATGGTCCTAAGCTATGGTGTTGGCATGGACTAGCATCCCTCAGGGGGCTCAGGAGTCTCTGGCTGGTTTGTGTCTCTATTGCTAGGATCTCTGTGTCTCTCTGTCGAATTGTTTTCCAAATTTCTGACATGGGAGGGCATGTGGGGAAGGTGGGAGGAAGTGGCCTTTAGCTTAACCCTTCTGAGGCACTGGGCAGCAGATTGGTGTGGAGACTGAAGAATTCATACACTCACCCTTACCCCTAAACACCACCCAGACACAGGGCTGTCCCACTGAGATCCTCCACCCAAAGGACTGTCCTATTAATCAGTGTGCGCAGGCAAGCCATCAAGGCACGCCACACCAAATGCCACAGCGCACACTGGCTATCTCATCCCACACCCCTACCCAGGGCCCTGGCTTGCTCCTGCTGGCACATGTGTTACTCTCTTTGGTTGTAGACACTGACCTGGGCCCTGTAACATCAAATATCCCTCCTCTTAGGGCCTAGGGTTCATCAGGGTCTATACCAGAGCTTGCCAAACTTCAGTGTGAGCAAGACTTACATGGAGAGACAGGACAGGGCTTCCTGGGACTCACCCTAAAGGTCTCCCACAGAGATCTTGGCCCTGAATTTCTAATAGACTCCCAGACGCTCGAGCGCCAGTCTGTCTACCACGGTGACAGGAGTGAAGCCAATTCTCTAGTCTGGGATTTCTGAGAGTCAAAGAGATAAATCCCCCTTCCTACAAAAAACGCTTTCACCCACCCTTCTGCAGAGGCCAGCAGGAAAAGGTGAAAGGGACAAACAAGATGGATTATGGAGACACTAGGCCTAAGCAGGCACTTAGGTCTGAAGGGAAGAGATTGTGACAAGACCAGCCCTGTGACACTCAACCTCCAACACCACCTTCACTTCCTCAGCCACCTCTGGCCTCCATCTCCACTAACCCTCTCTTCTTCCCACCAGGCCAGGACCCACAGCAGCATGGCTTTTGCTGTGGGGGCCTATATCCCTGCTAAAAAGCCTGTTCCCTACCACTGTCCCTGGCAAACCTGCTGCCCTGGCTGTGCCTTGGGCTCCCTGTGACCTCCACTAACTCACTGTGCCTGTTGCTGTCACTCATAGCCTCCTCCAGCTCTCCTCATTTGCTCCTGGACCTCCTTAGGGGCCTGAAGCCCTTCTCCCACTCTCACTCTGAGCTCTACTCTGCCAAAGGCAGCTGAGACTCGTAGGAGGCAGGGAGATCAAGCTGGAGCCTGGGGCCTTGGTTTCTCATTCTGGTGCTGGGCCACTTACTCTCTGGGTCTCTCTGAATGGCAAAGGGGCTGCTGGAGGACAGACCACTCTAGTTGGCTTGGTGCTTTTTTGACATATATTCTAATGGAGGGTTTCCTGAATGCCTGCCAATCAGGGATGGGGGTTCAGGTGGAAGGGTGTTTGGGACCTGTGGCCATGAACAGATACCTTAGTCATTCCCTGCCCCACCCCCCATCTCTGAGTTGCCTGAAGGGTCCCTGGCTGAATGCAGCCCCACCATCACCACCACTCAGACTCCTGAAGCAAGGCTGGAAGGCAGAGATGTTGGTGTTACCTCTGTGTGGCCCTGGTGTGCCTACAATAGCCAGGTTGGGGTAACAGAGGACGAGGGGACTTCTCCCTTCTCTCTTCCCCTCAACATTGTCTCAACTAATAACAGGGCTAATAAGGAGCCGCTTCTTTTAACCTAATTGTATTCAAACATTTTAGTTAATTCTCCATTCATATTTTAGCATAATGGGATCGGGTGTTCTCGGCATTTATGGAGATTAATGCAGAGAAAGAGTTCCGGCTGCTAAAGCAACACAGGGCGACTAGCGCCCTCTGGTTCTCATGGTACTGAAGGAAGGAAGGAAGAAAGGAAGAGGCCCTGGCTGGCCCAGCCACCCTCCACTATCGGGTGTGGATGACCTGTGGTCTCATGGCATCCCCTGCCTCTGGCTTTGCCACTCCCCATATTCTTGGGTGTCAGGAGGGCCGCCGAGCAAAGTCACACTTGGCTGGCCCATCTCTACAAACAAAGAAATGGCCTCATGCACCTCTGAGGTGCACCTGGCCTTTTTGGGTCTGTGCCCCCGGTTATCTACACCTCAAGGCCGATGTGGAGACTGGTTGGGTGGGCTTGCAGAATGGTTTGCAAGCCCAAACCTGCCACTTCTGGTCATGCTTCTTCCTTTGGCTTTTGGTGGGGACTCACCCCCAAGCCACTCCCTGCCTCAGTGTACCTTTCTATGAAGGAATCCTCTGCATGGGAAAAGATAGTTGTATTTGAGCTGGCCTGGGCCCAAAGCTTTCTGCCACCCCTGAGCCAGATGGTTCCTGGAATGGGCCTCAGAGGCTGTAGCCTTTGCTGGCTGGCTTTTGCCAAGACCTCCTTAGAGGGGAAGGGCTGTCTGGGACCTGAGGCTGGCCACGCTTTCCCGGGGTGGGAGGGTCTCTTCTCTCTGTGTGGCTTCCTGTGAGATCAATCTGTTGGCACATTTCCAGATAGCTTGTCCCCACCTTGGCCTTTCTTCAACACTTGGAGGAGGGCCCCCCGAAATCTGCCCCCAGATTTCTCTTGCCTGCTTGGCAGATAACCCGGCACTATGACTTTTCTAAGTGGTCGGCTAATTACAAGAGTAACACTATGCCTGTGACAGATCTCAGACAGCACTTCCAGCCCACCCTGCAGTGTCAGGCCACCCCAATACCCAGGGTAGGCTGGGTACTGCCTCATTAGAAACTGGGTGAGTCTGTGGGTGGCACCCTCCCAGCTTGAGTCTGGGACAGAGCAGAGCCCTGGGCCTTCCCCTCTACCATCCCCACATGAGGCTGTGGGAAGTCCAGGGCATTGTCCTCTGGGGGCCCTGTGGTAGGTCAGCAGGCAGCCAAGATGCCCAATTTCCAATCTCCAGTCCTATCTCAAATCCCAGCTCCGTGTAATCCCTTCAGCGGCTCCAGAGGCTGAGCTTGGAGAAGGCACCACAGTCTTCGCCTCTGTGGCTGGAGCTCCCTCTGAGCCAATTAGGTGACCTTTCATCTTATTGATCCACCTTGCTGCTGAACATGGAATCAAAGGTGTTATAAGGAGCTGGCACAATTTAGAGGCTGCCCTAGGATACGGGCTCACCCAGTATCTAATGTAGGGGAGGGGCTCTGCATGTCCCTATCCTGTTCCCCCCTGACTGCAGGCAGTAGGACAGATGCTTGACTGGGGACAGGCCAAAACAGCCGTCTCCTGCAAAGGGTAGCGGGGTGGGGGCGATTGGGATGCTGGTGACACGCAATGTCGCAATGCAATATCTGCAATATTGTAGAGGCTGGTGGCAGGGAGGAGCTGTGGGTGGAGGGGTGTGGGGGGCAGGGCCTGACATTTGGTCTACTCTCTTTCCTGCCCCACAGAAGCCCAGTGCAAGCCCTACTACTCAGACTACTCACGCTTCAGGCTTCTTGTCCACCACCTGTGTACCAGCCATTATTTGGACCTCTTCATCACTGGTGTCATCGGGCTGAATGTGGTCACTATGGCCATGGAACATTACCAGCAGCCCCAGGTAAGAACAAGTGATGGACCAACAGCCTTGGAAACTCCTCGGATGAGGCAACAACCTGGCCTCTGTGTGCCAGGTAAGTGTTGGGAACACTGCATGGGACCTTGTACCCGCAGCAGTCTCCTTTAGGGTGGGTATGCCCTTGTTTTATAGATGAAGACACTGAGGCTTGGTAGGTCAACTGTCTTGACCAAGATCACATAGCTAGGAAGTCAGAGATCAGAACATTTTTAGTGAGCATCTAGTATGTGTGGCTCTGGGCCTTGGAAAGTGAAAAGGACAGGTGGATGTTTGCCATTCAAGACTTAGACTCTAGTAAAGACTCAGCCCCCAAACACATCTGTTTCCAATCATCCCTCTCCTCTACCTTCCAGCCCTCAGTTTCCCCATCTGTACAGGGAGGAGGTTGAGCTGATACTGTGCAAGCATCTTTCCAGTCTTGGTGCTCTGTGCCTTCTGGCACAGTCTCATGTGTTTCTCACCACTTCTCAAGGAGAAATTAAGTGGAAGTCTGAATTGTCATGGGGTAGTGGCCAGTGGTCGGCCATCAGGGTAGGAAATGGGGAAAGCAGGCTTCCTTAGCTTCATCCTGCTCCCCAGCTCGGGAGGTATGGTGATGGAGGGTGGGGTGCACTTCAGCTTCTGCCTAAGGAGACCCTGCATCTGGCCCCCACCCCTGCCAGATCCTGGACGAGGCTCTGAAGATCTGCAATTACATCTTCACCGTCATCTTCGTCTTGGAGTCAGTTTTCAAACTTGTGGCCTTTGGCTTCCGCCGTTTCTTCCAGGACAGGTAACAGAGGAGAGAGGTCTGGGAGAGCTGAGAGGAAGTAGAGGTGTGTCTCCTAGGGAAATAACCAGAAGGCTTTGAACCTAAAGGCCTATCTTAGCTCTGTGAGTCCAGCTGCCACCCTTGGACTGATGGCGATGGTGGTTAGGGATCCAGTGTTTAAGGCATGGGAGGGATTCGGGGGTCTGACGAGGCAAGGCTAGAGGGCTTTGGCAGCAAGAAATCACTGTGAGCTTGGAGCCAGACCGCCTGGGTTGGATTCGAATCCTAGTTCCATCACGTACTGGCTGAGGACTCTGGGCATGCCTCAGTTCCCCTATCTGTGAAATGTATACTATCATTCTCCATATCAGAGTTGCAATATGGACATAAAGCTCTTAAAGCAGTACCCAGTTCAAAGTAGACATACAAATCTTGAAAACAAACAAAGACAAATGAAGCCAGGTGTCACTCATGCTTGTAGTCTCAGCATTCCGGGAGGCTGAGGCGAGGGGATTGCTATGAGCTTGAGGTCAGCTTGAACAACATAGCAAAATGCCATGCGGGTGTGGGGGCAGCATAATGATTAAAATTAAAAGGCAGAGGCCGTTCCCTGTCCTACTCTTCTGCATTCCCGATTTTCCAGGTGGAACCAGCTGGACCTGGCTATTGTGCTGCTGTCCATCATGGGCATCACACTGGAGGAGATTGAGGTCAATGCTTCGCTGCCCATAAACCCTACCATCATCCGTATCATGAGGGTGCTCCGCATTGCCCGAGGTAGGTCCAGCCGTAGCGCTTGTGTCTGCCTTTCACAGTAATCAGCTTGCAGGGGGAGATGGGAAGAGGCGCTTATGGGGATGGCTTTGGGTTCCCAGGGTCTTTTCCCCAGCCCCTGCCATCGGGGTTTGTCCAGCTCAAGTGGATTGGGGTATGGGTGGACCATCCCACCAGCTACAGCCCAGCTGTGTGAAGGGAGACTTGGAGGGGGCCAGCTCTTGACACTGTCCTGTTCTTCAGTGCTGAAGCTGCTGAAGATGGCTGTGGGCATGCGGGCGCTGCTGGACACCGTGATGCAGGCCCTGCCCCAGGTAGCTGGGAGGTGGGGTGGGCAGAAGGGAAGGGTCCTCCTGGTGGGGAGGAGGTGCCCTCCAAAAGGGCAGGGGCATCAGGGAAGCTGACTGGAGAGCCAGCAGCATCTTTTCCATTTCTTTTCCTCTTCTCCAGGTGGGGAACCTGGGACTTCTCTTCATGTTATTGTTTTTCATCTTTGCAGCTCTGGGCGTGGAGCTCTTTGGAGACCTGGGTGAGTTGAGATTGGGGATGGTGGAGGAGCCAGGGCTGGAGACCGAGGGGGATCATGGGACTGATATGGCTTCTCTCCTTTACTGTCTTCCCCCAGAGTGTGATGAGACGCACCCCTGTGAGGGCTTGGGCCGGCATGCCACCTTTAGGAACTTTGGTATGGCCTTTCTGACCCTCTTCCGAGTCTCCACTGGTGACAACTGGAATGGCATTATGAAGGTGAGAGCACACGAGATGGAGGCCCTTCCCAGGTCACCTAAGGTTATCTGAGAAGATGTATTAGCCACAAATAAAAGTGTGTCCCCTTGTTGCACCTGTCAGAACATTCTGGACTCTCTCTTCTCAGGACTTGCTCTGACTCACTCGCACTTGCCATAGCAGCATCAAACATCCTCCCTCAGCATTCTGATTTTCCATGACAGCTCCATCCTCTGTCTGTCCTTCCCACCCTCTTTTTATTTTTGTTTTTCGGGACAGGGTTTCTCTGTGTAGCTTTGGCGCCTATCCTGGAACTCACTTGGTAGACCAGGGTGGCCTCGAACTCCCAGAGATCCGCCTGTCTCTGCCTCCCGAGTGCTGGGATTAAAGGCGTGCGCCACCAACGCCCTGCCCTTCCCACGCCCTTACCTCTGCCCTTGACACCTCCCACAGGACACCCTCCGAGACTGTGACCAGGAGTCCACCTGCTACAACACAGTCATCTCACCCATCTACTTCGTGTCGTTCGTGCTCACGGCGCAGTTCGTGCTGGTCAACGTGGTCATAGCTGTGCTGATGAAGCACCTGGAAGAAAGCAACAAAGAGGCCAAGGAGGAGGCGGAGCTGGAGGCGGAGCTGGAGCTGGAGATGAAGACGCTCAGCCCGCAGCCCCATTCCCCGCTGGGCAGCCCCTTCCTCTGGCCTGGGGTAGAGGGTGCCAATAGTCCTGGCAGCCCTAAGCCTGGGGCTCCACACACCACAGCCCACATTGGAGCAGCCTCGGGCTTCTCCCTTGAGCACCCCACGGTGAGCAACAGAGCCCCTTCAAAAGGGCCGCGGGGCAGGAGAGGGGCAGGGAGGGCAGGGAGAGCTTACTACCGGTATATAGGAGACCAGGAGGCCCTGGGACTTCTCTTCCATCCTCCTGGCCCTCTTACCTCGATGCGGAGGAACTAGTTGTCACCTGCCCCTTCTCAGAATGGCTACCCACAGTCACTGTATGGTGGCAGACATGCTAGCTCCTCCAGCCTGGTGTGGCTTCCCCTTTGAGGCTTTAAGCTCAAGGCTAAGTTCTCTGTTTCCTTCCTATTTCTTTTTTATCTTTACCCGATTGTCAAACCTCTTTTCTACCCACTCTCTTCCCTTCCTGACTCCCCTCCTATCCTTTCATCTGCTCTTGTCTCTCCCTCTCCCGTATGGACCCTGTTCATTCTCCTCTCCCTCCTCCCCTTCTTCCTACACCTTCTTTTCTCCATGCTCCTCTTTCTCTTCTCTTTGTTGCTGTGTGTGTTGTGTGTGTGTTGTGTGTGTGTGTGTGTGTGTTGTGTGTGTGTGTGTGTGTGTGTGTGTGTGCCTCTGACGCTTTGTGTGGCCTGCCACGTGGGTTTCACTTGCTCTTTCTACCCCCCTCCAATCCCCTGCCCTGACACTTCTCATTGTTGCCCCTCTGATCCCTGTTCCCCTGGCTCTCCGGCTCCCTTTATGGGCTGGTCCTCCCAGGACAGACAGCTGTTTGACACCATCTCCCTGCTGATCCAGGGCTCCCTGGAGGGGGAGCTGAAGCTGATGGACGAGCTGGCAGGCCCAGGGGGCCAGCCCTCTGCCTTCCCTTCCGCCCCCAGCCCGGGCGGCTCCGACCCACAGGTTACTGTGCCCTGTCATGTGCCCATTCCTCTGACCGTGCCAAGCTGTGCCATGCTACGCTGTGCTTCTGGGGTGGCTGGGGGTATTGCCTGCCCACTGGGTATCTAGAGAAAGAGCAACTGTAGGGCCACAGTTGAACACTGCACCTGACAGGAGGCAGGGGGGCGGGGGTGTCATGCTCCAGGCTCTGGAAGGTAGAGAGGCTGAAATTACCCTTTCAGGGGAGGGAAGGATGGAGGATGGGCTTAGAGAGGTTCTTCCTAAGTAAGAATCTAGAAGAGAGAAGAGATGGGACAGTGAGACGTTAGGTGGTAAAGGAGGCTGTGAGGGCCTCTGAGGTGAGTGAAAGTGGCTGTAGGACCCGTGGACTGTTTTAGCCAGTCCGTTTCTTCTGTAGTGTCGAGTACCCATCCCCACTCCTCTGGTGGCCTTGTAAGTACAAAGCCCACTGGACACGATAAGGGCTGTTGTAGGAAGTTTTCTGGCCTGAGGAAATAGAAGTGAATTCTAGGACATAAACATGAAGTAGGCTTGGTTCCCTCACCAAATGCCATCCCTTCCTGCACACCTAGGCTGCTCTTCTGCAGGCCCAGCTTACCCTGATCTGTTGCTTTCTGGATCATTCCAGTCCTGCTCCCCTCCCCTTAGCCCAGTATCCCTTCAAGACCTCTACACCAGGTCAGGGACTATAGACCTACAATGGGCTAAGGAGATGGATGTTTACTCCAGCAGGAGCCTCGTGGCACAAAGCCTGCTGGGAGAAGGGGTAGGCTCCCAGGTTCCTGGGCAACCTTTAGCCTGGTAGAAAACAGTGATTTTCAAATGACCTAAAATGATCAGTGGAAAAAGGAATACAGCCAGTCCCTTTCCCAAGCGCTCCCCCATTCTAAACTAGGCCCACAGGGAAGATGGAGGGAGGAGGGTAGCATAGGACAATGATCAGAGCAGCCCACTCACCCGAACACCATTTACCCCACAATGGTGTTGAAGCTCCTAAGTGAGCCAGCTAGATGATGTGGTGGCCCCTGTGCGCCCCCTTCAGACTAGCTGGGAGAGCACTTCTCAAGACCCACATTGGAGAGGGGGAGCAGGTTGCAGGCAGGCGGAGGAAGGCCCATAAGGGGAGATGCCAGAATCTGGGGGCAGGCCAAGTCCTGCTAGGCTTTTGGAAGCAAAGAGAATAGGCAGAAAACAGCCGTCAGATTGTCGGCATTGTCCCCAGTGTGCCCCCCTCCCCCATGCTGCTCTGTCTGCAGAGAGGAGACAGGGCTTTGCTGGCCTTTCTTCGTTCTTTTTTTGTTTGGTATCATCTTTATGAGAGTGGAAGCCCTCTCCTCCGCTCTCTCTCTCTCTGGGTGGTGGTAGTGTGGGAGGGGGCTGCTAAGATGCCTGGGGTATCTTTAGAATGTGTTTCTGTGTCTCTTGGTCTCTTTGCTTTGCCAGTGTTTGCTCTGTCTCTTTGGTGCCTGCTGCAGACTCTCTGATCAGAGCAGGGGGTTGAAGTGGGAGGTGGGCGGTGCTGTGGGTCTATTGGGCCAGGGGTGGGTGGGGAGCAAAATGGGATACCTTCCTCCCTGCCATGTGGAAAGGGGAAGTGGGGGCTGCGAGTGTGCCTCGTGTGTGTCCTGGTTTCTCATGCCTGCTCATCTCTCTCCTGTCTAGATCCCTCTAGCTGAGATGGAGGCTCTGTCTCTGACGTCAGAGATTGTGTCTGAACCGTCCTGCTCTCTAGCTCTGACGGATGACTCTTTGCCTGATGACACTCACACACTCTTACTTAGTGCCCTGGAGAGCAATGTACATGCACACATCCCTTGCTGCTCCCCCAGCCTGGGCTAGGCTGGCTGCAGGGTTCCAGATCCTCTTCCCACTGTGCCCAGGTTCTGCTCTGAGGCATTCATTCACCTGTGGGCACAAAGTGCCCCAGCCTTTGCTGGCATGCATGAATTCTTCCTTGAATTAGATAGGATAAAAACCAAGGCCCTGTTCGGAGGGTTACGGGGGCATCAGTGGTGACAGGGTTATTCCAGGAATGACAACCCCCAAACACAAGTGGCTTGGGAGCCAGCTTCTGTGTTTGGAGCCCTGTACCAGCCAGCCCTCCCTCCCTGCTCCCCTCCTCTTCCTCTCCCTCACAAGACTCATGTTGTCCTGGGTGAGAGCCCCATCTTTGCTGCTACCACCATGACCTTCCCTCTGGGGGACTGTTCCTGTCTCCTCTCTCTGTCCCTGTGTGTCCTTGTGTTCTGTCCTCAACAAGCTGTGGGGGTTTCTTGGTATTTTGACCTTTCTACCCTTCCTCAGTTTCCCTCTGTCCTTCGACAGTGAGCAGCCCCCTCGTCTTATCATTTGTCCTCTGTTGTGCGAGCGGGGCCAGCTGGGGCAGGATCTTGATCCAAGACTGGGAGGGTCTCTAGAAGTTGTGGCTGGCTGGAAGGAGTGGGTCCTGAGATTGAGAATAGAAGGGAAAGTCTCAGACTATACTCAGCACAGCCATCTTCCACTTTCTGGGACTGTAACCAGCTGAGCCCATGTGGGAGAAGAACCTCACCGCCTTCTTGAGAACTGGGAATGGGTAGTCCAGGGACAGGGGTTCTAAAGGGGGACAGAAACTTTTGGACCAGGCCTTGGAAAGGCCTGATCACTGCCTTTCTTTGAAACAGGTTTCCCAAACCCACTCCCACCTCAAGTCTGTCCTCCGAGGGAGTACTGAGTCCTCAGTACCCAACCAAACCTTGCTACCCACCTCCACCCTCCTGAGTCTCTGTGTGGTGAAAGAACCAGAGATTAGGCTGGGACATGTCCCTTGTGCTCACCTGCTATTTAACCTGCATGAACCTAACTCAGGCCCGTCCCCTGTTGATCCCTGGAGTAACTTTAAGATTCTCTAAGAGGACCACAGGCAGTGCTGGGGGCTGCTCTCTCTTCTCTCATCCCTCCTAGTCCTCCACCACCCCCCAGCCCAGAGGCACACAGGTGATCCTGTGGGTATGCTCTCAGGGTGGGGCCTCTCCACTCCTTTCTCCCTGTATGTAGAAATTCCTCGTATGTCTTCCCTCCTACCATCCTCATGCCTATCACCTTGGCCTAAGAGGGTGCTGAGGGAGGTGTGGGTAGGTGGGGGGAGGACTGTGGGTCTGGTGGGGGGGGCTCAGTTCCTGCTGTCTAGCTTTTCCTCAGTCATCAAACCCAACTGCATGCTCTTCACCCCATCCTCCGATCCTTTTGCAGATGGTACCCCACCCTGAGGAGGCGCCAGTCCCCCTGGGACCAGACCTGCTGACAGTGAGGAAGTCTGGTGTCAGCCGGACACACTCTCTGCCCAATGACAGCTACATGTGTCGCAATGGGAGCACTGCTGAGAGATCCCTAGGACACAGGGGCTGGGGGCTCCCCAAAGCCCAGTCAGGTACCAAGGCTGGGGCAAACCAGCTCAGCTTACACAGGGAGACCTGACCTTGCCTTGCCTAAGACCAACAAAAGACGTGTTTCTTGTTTTGAGGAAACCCTAAGCGAAGGGGAAGTACCCAAACTGGAAGAAGTAGCTTTCATCCCAGGGCAGTGAGGGGTAGAGGCCCTGATGGGGAGGAAGGTTGAAAGGGATGCCTCCCAGACTCCTCTCTACTCACCCCTCCATGCCCCTTCCTCACAGGTTCCATCTTGTCTGTTCACTCCCAACCAGCAGACACCAGCTGCATCCTACAGCTGCCCAAAGATGCACCCTATCTGCTCCAGCCTCATGGAGCCCCCACCTGGGGCGCCATCCCTAAACTACCCCCACCAGGCCGCTCCCCTCTGGCTCAGAGGCCACTCAGGCGCCAGGTGAGCAAGTATGGAGGGCTGGCCCTAGGCCCTGGGGGAGGGGTCTCTATTGGAATCCCTATGCTGTTGGTAATGACTAGAGTTGACACTTTTCATTCTTCCAGTAAAAGTGTACTGTGTGCCGATGATACAGCAGCTCTAGGTACTAGGGACATGGTACTGGGTAAAGCAGAAGTGGCTGGAGTTTGCCTTCCACCCCATGCACATACCTTGTTTGACTGGTTGTTACCATGGCAACAGACATCCTGTGAATGTGGTACCCAGGTACCAAGGCTCCCCCAATCCCAGGCCCAGAGTTTCCCTCAATTCTTCACACTTTGGGCTAAACTCAGGGATATAAGGCAGGTTTAAGTATCTGTACTTTTGACCAACCCAGGGATCCACTTTTTGTGAGCCAGAAGAGTGGCTAAGCCTCACCACGTGAGGCTTGCGTGCCTTGTGTTGGTGTCTGTGGCTCCTGAGCACAGATATATGACTGCTGCTCAGTCTCATGCTCTTGGGCAGCAGGCATGGTCCCCTCATCCTGCACCCACTCACCCAGCAGCTTCCTGCTACTAGGTACTGAGACACAGTTCCTGCTCTCTGAGCTCAGTCTAAGAATGGAGGCACACATGTCCCCAGAACACTGCAGCCGCAGGTTATAGCTGCAAGGTGCTTGTGTGGGTTGTAGCAGGGAATCCAGAAGAGACAAGGGTTAGTTTTACTTGAAGTGGATTACCAGGCACTCATCACAGAAAACCCGTGCTCAGAAGAGTGAGGGACACTTGTTGGGAAGGAATTCGAGGCCAAGGGAATTGTTGCCTTGCTCTCCCTAAAGGCTAGAGACACAAAATGGCCCAGCTAAGGAAGCAGAGTTCTTTCTGGCCTCCCAGGGCCCAAAAACTGCAGAGCTCCTCTTGCAGGATTTGAGGAACTGGAGCACGGAGGACAGAAGAAAGGGTTGTTGGTTGAAGTTGGGGGGAGGTATGGACCATGGATCTCAGAGGGCTCATGGCCCCCTTCTCTCAACAAGAGAAGTTAATAGGGTGGTCCTGGAGCTTCACAGGGCTCTGGAACACCCAGCCTGACAGAATAAAAGGCAATCCATGTTGGAAAGGAAATCCCTGGCCTGAGCCCTGCACCCACTCCCCACAGGCAGCAATAAGGACTGACTCCCTGGATGTACAGGGCCTGGGTAGCCGGGAAGACCTGCTGTCAGAGGTGAGTGGGCCCTCCTGCCCTCTGACCCGATCCTCATCCTTCTGGGGCGGGTCGAGCATCCAGGTGCAGCAGCGGTCCAGCAGCCAGAGCAAGGTCTCCAAGCACATCCGCCCGCCAGCCGCTTGCCCAGGCCTGGACCCCGGCTGGGCCAAGGAGCCTCCAGAGACCAGAAGCAGCTTAGAGTTGGACACGGAGCTGAGCTGGCTTTCAGGAGACCTCCTGCCCAGCAGCCAGGAGGAACCCCTGTCCCCACGGGACCTGAAGAAGTGCTACAGTGTAGAGGCGCAGAGCTGCCGGCGCAGGCCTGGGTCCTGGCTAGATGAACAAAGGAGACACTCCATTGCGGTCAGCTGCCTGGACAGTGGCTCCCACCCCCGCCTATGTCCAAGCCCCTCAAGCCTGGGGGGCCAACCTCTTGGGGGCCCTGGGAGCCGGCCTAAGAAAAAACTCAGCCCACCCAGTATCTCTATAGACCCCCCGGAGAGCCAGGGCCCTCGGCCCCCATGCAGTCCTGGTGTCTGCCTCAGGAGGAGGGCGCCATCCAGTGACTCCAAGGATCCCTCAGCCTCCGGCCCCCTTGACAGCACGGCTGCCTCACCCTCCCCAAAGAAAGACGCACTGAGTCTCTCTGGTTTGTCCTCTGACCCAACAGACCTGGACCCCTGAGTCCCACCCACTCTCCCTCTCACCTTTCTCTACTGGGTGCAGATCCTAGCTCCGCCTCCTGGGCAGTGTTTCTGACAGGTCCCACGTACACTGGTACACAGCGAGGCGCTGCTCCTGCCTTTCTTAGTGGCTGGGTGATCACAAGCAGGACTTCCAGAGAGTCTGGCACCACCGCCTCCGGGAAGAGAGGGAGAAGCCCAGTGTGGCCGAGGCTCCCGACACCAGGAGCTGTTGGGAGAAAGCAATACGTTTGTGCAGAATCTCTATGTATATTCTATTTTATTAAATTAATTGAATCTAGTATATGCCGGATGTACGACATTTTGTGACTGAAGAGACTTGTTTCCTTCTACTTTTATGTGTCTCAGAATATTTTTGAGGCGAAGGCGTCTGTCTCTTGGCTATTTTAACCTAAAATAACCAATCTAGTTATATTCCCTCTTCTTGTAAAGCACAAGCAGGGACCGTGAGTGCATCACAACCCGACGGTGGCCCCATCTTCAGTGGAAAGCGAGAACCATTTTGGAAACTGTCATGTAACTTATTTTCTCCTTTAACCTCGTCATCGTTTTCTGTAGGGGGGAAAAAGAGAAAAAGAGAAAAAAAACCCGAGATTTTACAAATGAAATGGAACCTTTTTATATATACATACATACATATCTATATATCTATATATCTATATAAAATAAAGTAATTTTCCAAAATAAAAAGTTAATCACAGTCCAGAGTAAAAGCAAAGGGGATGGAGAGATAGGTGTGTTCAGATGGCCGTGGGGAGCTGGGGGGGGGAAGAATTTCGACTGCCTTTCTGTGTCTAGGGGGGAGGTGCATGTGTGCTGTGTGTGTTGAGTGTGTGCGCATTGGTATGTATGAGCTGTGTGTTTAAGAGGGGAGGAGCTCAAATGCCCAGCCATGGAGGGCTCCATCCTTGCACCTCCCCTGCCAGCATGCAGAGAAGAGGACCCTGTGCCTGGCAGAGCTGGGCGGGCGAGGTGGGGCGGGAAGGGGGGCTTCTGTTTTTCTGTCAAAGCTTTATCGCATCCTCAGAGCCAGGCGGCTCGGGGAATGTGAGTAATTCCAGATTAATTCTTATTTCTGCTGACAGCTATCAGCCGCACATTGAAAGCTAGAAATTGGCATAATGAAGCTGTTTTGGTTAATGGGGCCAATGGAGGCTGGGAGGCAGCCTCAGCTGCTGCGGGTCTAAATCTAGGGGCTAGTGGGGGAGGGGCAAATGCTTCCTGGTTTTCCTAACCTATTCTTCCACCCAGGCATTTGCCACACTCTGGCTGGGTGGTGACCTGAGGTGTCTGGGCTAAAGCCTTGGGCCTCCTCTACCTGCCCGCTGATACTGAGATTAATCTGTGTAAACAGAGCAGGTTGTCCCCTCCCGAGGATGAGATTGCAGGGACCAGGGCTGGAGACCTCCTGATGAAGGCGGAGGACTGGCGGTGGCCAGAATACTGAGCTAGGACGCTGACTCCCTGAGGGGTGATGAATGATACAAGCAAGGTGCTTACATGGTCTGCTGCTGCTTGCCCAGTGGGAGGGAGCTAGAAGAGAGGGAAGATGGGGGAAAGGCCATCAGTGCAGGGGGGCAGGGGTGGGGAGAGCCACCTGACCCAGAACCACCTTTCTGGTGCTACTGCTGCCAAACGTCTCTTGGTTGAAGTCCTAGTACTAAGAGGGAGTAGTCATGGACTCAGCCAGCCTGTCACCCATCAACCACCCCAAGCATCTGTCCCATTTCCACTCCCTTGAGCATCCCTGTCCCTCTTAAGCCAGCCCTGCCCCCTTCTCTCTCTCTCTCTCTCTCTCTCTCTCTCTCTCTGTGTGTGTGTGTGTGTGTGTGTGTGTGTGTGTGTGTGTGTGTGTGTGTGTGTGTACTCATGCTTTGGAGTAGAAATCAAACCTAGGGTTTTTACATATCTGAGGCAGCATTCTACCACTGAGCTACATTTCCAACCCTGGATTGGATTCTTGAGACCTCAGCGGCAACCCTCACCCACAGTCCCCATCTGCACAGGCAGCTGGGAGCCAGAGTGCCAGGTTACTGGTTGCTGGGAGGCTGGGCCTGCAGGCGTCCATCCTCTGGCCTATTTCCTAAGCTGAGAGAGCTTTTCTGGTTGCTCTATTGGACAGAAATGATAACACTCATGGAAGCAAACACCTGGCTTGATCTTCCTAGGGTTTATGACAGTGCCAAGTTCTAATCCCTCTAGCCCTCTCAGCTGGAGAAACAGGGTGCTTGTAGAAGCTGGCTTTTCTTTCTTCTGTCTTTTTTTTTTTTTCCTTTTCTTTTTTTTGGGGCGGGGGAGGGGAGCTTATAAAATTCCTAGAGTTTTGCCACCTGGATCTGGAGATTAAGCTTTCATATTTTTGTAGAATTCTGTAACTGTCTGTGTCTTATGGGTGGGAGGTTTGGGAAGGGGTTGTTCTGGGAATCCCCCTTCTTCTAGTGGTTAGAAGATTCTGGGCCAAGGTGAAGCAGAAAGATGAATCCTCTCCCCTCACCCAGACAGACCTCCCTCACCACCCTCCCTGCCTCTGTGAATACACAGTGGTGCAGTAATACCATCATGCCACATGAGGTAATGCATAGCCTGCCTAATTCTTTCTAACATCCCCCTTCCCCTGGTTCTCCCTTCCCAGAAAGGACCAAGGAAGCTTGCTTGGGGCCACACTGAGTATGCTTTAGAGTTGCTTTCCAGAAATCTACTGTGATCCACCCAATGAAAGGACAATACCCCTGCCTCCTACTCCACAACTGAGCACGTCTCTGGCAGGGAGCAGTGCCTACAGGGGCAGCTGGATGGTGTTGTGGGCATATTAATAGCAGAGTCAAGGTGGATATTTTGGGGGTGAGTATTGTGGCCACTCTCCCAACAACTCGAAGTCTTTATCAGCTAGGCATGGGGATGCTTGTCTGTAATCTCAGCCATTGGGAGGTGGAGGCAGAAGGATCAGGATTACAAGGTCATCCTCCACCACATAGTGGGTTGGAAACCAGATTGGACTCCATGACACTCCCCGTCAAAAGCAAACAAACAAAAACCACCAACAAAACATTAACATTGGTGATGGAAAGAAACTGTTGGGTCTCACTGCAAGGTTTCCAAAGAAGAAGAGACTGCTGCTGAGTCTTGGAATGGGGGCTGGTGGTCTCAGGGAAGTTGAAATGGGGTTAAGGAGACGGCAGGTTTTTGGTTAGGACCTCCAAGGCAGGCTTGGAACTGAACAGGAGCTTCTGAGATGGGGGGTGCCTTTGGAAATGAGAGCATCTATCTCTCTGGGTGCCTCGCTTCCATTCAGTCTTCTCCCTGGGGTTCAAAGACGAAATTGTGTCAAGAGCACCAGGCCTCCACCTCAGGCGTGGCTGCTGCAGCTTCCTCCACCCCCAAGGCTCCAGGAAAAGGCCTGTCTGGGGGTGGGGAACTGGGAAGAGGAGTGATCTGAGCTGGTGCTAAAAACAAACCTGAGGCTCACACACAGTCTCTCACTCCTCCAACCGCTTAAGCAAGGGAAGCACCCAGCTAGCATTTTTCCAGGCAGCAGCAGGTTCATAGAGGTTAAGGGACTTGCCTGAGGTCACACAGCCAGAATTTGGCAGAGTTAGGATTTGACTCCAGGGCTGACCCTTCTGCAGCCTGTACCACCTCAGGCTAGTCTCATCCGATGAGAGAATGGAAAGTGATTGGTAGAACCGTGCTTACAAAATGAAGAGTTTAAAAGGAGGCTAGGGACCCTCCCTTTTTCTGAGACAGGGTTTCCCTATGTAGGTCTGTAGATCAAGCTGGCCTCAAATTCACAGAGATCCGCCTGCCTCTACCTCCCGAGTGATGGGACTAAAGGCGTGGCCAGGGACCCCTTCTTAAAGCAGTCACACTTGGTTTCTAGAAATGTTCATGTGTTCTTCACGTGGCATACTTGGTGACTTAGAGAGGTCCACTGCCTCCCACCTGGTGAGATGGTAGCCTCCAACCTGATCCTAGTCTCAGGAATGGTGGGGGCGTCATCCTTTAACTCTGGGTGATTTCCAGGAATTCCAAGCACCCTCAGGTTCTTCAGTCACTCCAGGTTTCCAGGCAACACACTTCCCTAGAATGGCTCTGCTCTTTGAAACTTTGGCACCTGCTCTCCTCAACCACCACTGTCTCCACCCTTCTCCTTTCCTGTCCCCACCTAGGCCTCTGCCCACTTTCCAAATAGGCTTCGGTTTCATCTACAAACATTCTCCCCACCCATCACAGCCAGGTGCCCTATGGTCTCTTTTCTTCACCCCTGGCCAGCTGAGCTGCCAACCTGCCCCCACCTCTGTGACAGCAGTGTAGTGAGTGCATCAGACACCAAGTGGCAGCATCAAGCACTCTCAGTTGGCGCCACACAGTCTTTTCTGAAGAGGGATGAATCCAGGGAGAAGATACCACCAGCCCTGGCGGATCCTTCCACAGACATAAGCACCATATAACCCCCAAAGAGGAAACAGATTACAGTGAAGAACTTGTCTGTGGGGAAGCCTGGACTGGAATATGCCATCTGAGTGCTGGCAAGCCAACCAAGTGGATAGGGAGGATGAGCCCCTAGTGCCAATGATGCCCCCTAAGGCCATGAACTGATCCCTGACAGAGGTGGCATGTTGGATACAGGACTTAAAGCTCAAGCAACTTTAGTTGTGGACTGGCCCCGCCTATAGGGCAGGATAAGGTGCGGCAAGCAGCTCAGTAAACTCCAGGAAGGAATTCGGCTACAAACTCTACAACTCTGCATGCCTTATCGCCTATCTCAAAGTATGAGCTTGGCCGAGGCCCACAGAACCTATTAATTATTGCTTCGAAAACTCTGGGATCGGCTACAGGAGTCATGTCTGCACCTGCATGCCAATTAGATGGGCAGCAGGCTGGGGCAGAGGGCAGCCTTGCTGAGACTGGGAGGGGACCAGGTGGCTCCAACTAGGCTGTTGTCTGGAGGAAATAGACCTTCTGCTTAAGAAGCCAGAAGAGAGTGGCAGGGTGTGTGCTGGAGCATAATTTCGGGGTGTTCCCAGACTTCAAGGGGTTTAAAGGAGTAACATAATGAGGCGAGGGTAGCATTGCTTTTTTTTTTTTTTTTTTTTTTTACACTGTCCCTTTCATTAACTCCAGCCCACTCTGCCTCCAGGCAGCGTTTCCTGTGCCTAGATCTCCATGTCTCCTTTGCCCTGCTTTCTATCCACTGCTCTGCATTTGCAGTGATCTTCTCTTGCCATTCTCTTGCCAGAAAGTCCCCAATGCTGGGCTGCCTAGAGATGCTCACTGGCGGGGGAG